CAAAACATCCTCTGCACTGAAACAGCCTGAAGCTTTCTATTACAGCCAATATTCTGTTTAGACGTGTGGGCTTTCTCTTGATACAAAAGATGGTGCTGAACTATCAAAAGATTGTTTGGGTTCTGAGCAACACACTTCCTATGTTTTTTAGAGTCTTGCCAAACTGCTAAGAATGATTAATATTTTCTTTCCTTCTGTCAAGATTGTGCATATTTTAAACTATCACATCATTTCTTTAAATAATATGGCACAATTCCACAACGATGCTTCCCTTGTCCCACTCAACACCATTGAACAGTTGTTTAAAAATACTTGGTTCATAAAACTGAACTATTTATTGGCATTTATATAAGGAACTACATTCTGTGTTTCTCCCCCAAATATCCAGCCATAAACCCTCTTGTAACCTCTCAGAGGAGGATGTCACATGCCTTTCTCAGAGGTCACATCACTCTCCCAACTTCTTCTAGCCTGAAAGGCCAACAAAACAGCTCTGCAAAGACAGATCACTGATATCTATCAGCTATTGGATATTCAGAACAAAACTGATCCCCAAATGTTCTTGGTTCATACAAAGGAACTCATATTCTGCCCACTCTCAAGGTGATAAAGCTTTCAACCAACACTTGTGGCACTTCTGAGTTTTGGATATATTCAGTGTAAAAAAAAAATCAAAAAGAAGTCCTGGTTCTCACAGCTGGGTCCCCTTCATCTGTGAAATTCAACATTTGCAGATCTTCTGGATAACCTAAGCAAAGTTGGCATTTTATGATGGTACAAGAGCACTTTGCCATGACTTCAGGTGTCCCAAAGAATGACTGAGGTGCCTGAACCACAACAGCCCTTGAGTCCACGGGTTTGCTTTGACTGGCAAAAAAGACTCCTCAGATGCAGAAGGTTTTGTTCAAAGCCTTTTTTTTTGCTTGTTACAGGAGGAAAAAAGAAAACCTGAAAGATTTAATTCCACGTGACTAGCACAGAATTCACAGCCAGGCAGTTTGAGCACAAAATTTGACTCAGAAGTGGTTTTTCTTAAAAAAAGGAAATGATTAAACAATTCAAGTATTCATTACTAACCAAGCATAGTTTCCTTCCTTCTCTAAGCAGGTCATCTGTGCTTTCAAGAGCTGTTTCTGCCCCTTGACCTGCTCCTCCTCAAGGCTCTCATGTCTCAAACACAAGATCCCTGAACAAGCAAAGCTGAGCCACAGCCCATAGGGCTGGACACACAAGAACTACCAACTTTCCAGGGCAGATTGGGAGAGGAATTACTAAGGTGAAGAAGTTCCTCCCAGCATAAAGAAAGTGACCCTTCCATGCTTTGTGTTGTGTCCTTCAATTCATTATTACCTGCAAAGCTCAAAAACAAACCCCACCAAAACCCAAGCTGGATTCACATCCAGCAAGGCTGCACATAAATGGACTGTCTCTGGGTGGAGTGAGTGTAAGGGATCATTTTGGGCCACCAGCAAAACCAGACTAGAGTTGTCAGTGTTGCCATGAAGGAGTAAAGAGTTGCTTCCACCACCAGTAGGCCAGCTCTGGTGACAGGATCAGACATACAAGCAGGATCAAAGATCAGGATGCTAATAACTCAAAAGTTGCAGTGAGGGGCAAAGTTGTTTGATGCAGGATTCAGTGTCCTTGCCTGCCCTCCCTTGTCACCTTACACCTCCTCATAAATTCAGAAGCAGCAAGCTAAAGGAACCAGGAGAGGCACCAACCTGATCTATGCAGAAGCTCAGATGGGACTTTCAGCTAAGTAAGTTTCTTCACTTTGTTGAAGTTTCTTGTTCAATACAAAGAGGGGGCAAAAAAAACCCACCATTGCTTTTCTACTTCTTTATCACTACCACAAAATAGCACAGGTGAACTTCACATCTATCCAAGTATCTTAATCTTTTTTTGTATAATGCTGGGAAAGTCTCCAAGGTTTAAATAAAAACCTTACCTTGGCTCTCAAGCTTGGCAGGCTTTTGCTTCTAATAAAACCCAGATCAGAGGGGTGTTTTTTGGCTCTCCTACCTGAAATAAGCTTATTCTCCAATATATGCTTCTATTAGTTATGAAAGCACTATATTCCTGTTGCATAACTTGGGAAGGTTGGGAGGTGCCTGAGGTAACAGAATGGCATCTTTTTGAAGAAACTTTCATATCACAAATAGTCCTCTTTGATAAAAGACAAGTGTAAAAGAAGGATGCTAATGAGTCTCCTTCACTTCTAATGCCTATTATAGCAAAACAGTCAAAAAAGAACCTGCCCACATCAGTTAATGTCCTACCAGCTTGTTTCTCCTGGGCTGGCTTACAGAAGTCTACACTCTGCATGCAACACCCATCTCCTGAGTGTACCACAAGTAGCAAAACTTCCATCAAGTGCTTCTGAGTCCCATCCTAAGGCAACTTCTGCTCCAAGCTGAAAGTCTCTACACTGTCTGGATCCAGTCTCCTCTTTTGTAGGTCTTTACCACAACAGAATTTTTCTTTTCATCCCACTTTCTTGGCTGCTGGAGGAACTGGCATAGGAAGTCTACTCTGATTAATTCAAAAAACAGCATCTGACATTTTCCCAGGTATGATGTTCCTAGGTGCTGAGACTCTGTAAATCCCAAGACACCACTCTTGGCCCAGATGAGGATTGCATACATCAGCCTAAACACTTTTGAAAGCAGGAACAACTACTTTGGTATCTCAGGGAGTATCAAGTTTTAAAAATCCAAGGACTTACACATGCAGAAGTAGAGTGCACAAGCATCCACTACACTGATTTTATCTGTTCAGTCTGATGAGGGGAGAGAAAATGAGGTGGACTGATGGAAGCCAGTCCCCCAGTCAAGGCTGTTTCAGAAGACACCAGGTGAGATGGAGGCCATCACACCCTGACAAGAAAAGCCACCTCCACAGCAGTCCCTTGTGTGCAAGCTGGAGGTAAGGAAGGAGCTCACCTCTTCCTGGGACTGTTTCTCCCTACTCCCCTGGCCCCTCCATGCACAGCTCAGTCTTACAGGTTGTGTTTTCCAGGAGACATTACCCTGACTCCCAGTGCAGCTGGGCCAGCTGAAGCCATCTTTGCTCCTGTGAGGCAGAAATGTGCCTGTTTCTCTGCAAATCTGAGGGGCAGTCCAGGAGGAGCCTGGACCTGCTCTCCCAACACCAGCCCTGCTCTTCCTGCAGACCCTCAGCGTTCTGCCCATCAGCTCTTCATGGGGAAAGAAGGCAAAAGCAAGATTCAATAGTTTTAAAAAAACAAAAAGATGACTGTGAATAACAACTATAAATAGAGTGTCAAGTCCTGCTGTAAACTTGCAATAGAGCTGAACTAAAAATAGCCATATGAGAGGATGAAGCAGTGCAGCACTGGCGTTGGTAGGAACACCAATGTTAAGAGCATGAATACAGAGAAGAATAAGACTTTGCTACAGTAATTATCTACCTTACACAGAACAATGTGGAATAAATATAGAAACCGTATTGCCAAAAAGGCTTCTACACCCACAGCAACATTAAAAGGGGAAAAAAACACCAGAAAATTAAATTACAGAAGAAAAAAAGAGACTCTCTTTCTTTTTTTCTTAGATATCATGGTATTTTTTTTGGTTTCCCTTCTATTAAATTGAACATTCATTTTCTTAAGTGAGAGATCTCACCAGAATGGCTGTAAGGCTGTCCAACTCCTGCACACTTGGTCAAAAGGTTTAGCAACACAAGTGCAATTATTTGCTCACATAACACAGTGAGACTCAACAAGGAATTAAAGGACTGAACAAACCTTGTAAAAATCAGGACAAAATAAATCAACACCTCCAGTTCTTGCTTATGCCAGCTGACTGCTGTATTGCTTATGTACACTTCTCACTTCATTCACCCTGGGTGTATCATAAAGCAGTCTGGGCACTTACACTCAGAAGCAGGTCACAAGTAAATCATAGAAACATTTAGGTTGGAAAAGACCTTAAAGATCATTAAGCTGACACTGCCACGTCCACCACTATGGTCCACATCCCTAAGCACCACAGAAGCACACAAAAGCCAGCTCTATAAACTCATTCTGTAACACAAGGTCTGGGCACCTACACTCAGAAGCAGGTCACAAGTAAATCATAGAAACATTTAGGTTGGAAAAGCCCTTTAAGATCATTAAGCTGACACTGCCACGTCCACCACTATGGTCCACATCCCTAAGCACCACAGAAGCACACAAAACTGTGCAAGCCAGCTCTATAAACTCATTCTATAACACAAGGAGTGATCAGAAAGCTCACAAATGCTGTCAACATTGAAAGTGGAAAGTGCCACCAGAGCAAAGTGGAGATCCTGGGCTCTGCATGGGCAAGCTCAAACTGCATGGAGGCTTCCTAGTATTCATAAACACAGTGTAACATGCCTGTTACCAAACTCTGCCATGCTTGTCAACACATACTACATGGCGTAACATGCCTGTTACCAAACTCTGCCAGGCTGGTCAAAACATACTATGTGGTTTTTTTTGTTACAGTATAAATTCTTCTAAAGAATAAAAAGAGTACAAATACAAAATTTGCCTTAACTGTTCATTTAAAAATCTTGTTGTCTTGGGATTTTAGTAATTATTTGGTGATTGCCTATGTATTAGGAAATACCAAAGATCACTGGTGTGTATTAGGAAATACCAAAGATCACTGGTTATTCTTTAAGATGATTAACTGATTTAAATACTGGAAAACAATTAGGAAGTTTAACACAAGCAACATTTGACAAGGTGAATATAAAAGTATATGATATGAAAGAATCATGGTGCTTCTTTTCCCAGATGTAGGAAATGACTGTGGAAGCTTGCTCCCCTTAAAGCTGTATTTTATGTTCTCTATAATAACCACTGCCATTTACTGTTCTTCCATTCAGTTACTTATGTCACACAGCATTTCCTTTCTTTCTTTTCCCCCTTGAAGAACCAAAACACAACACAACATGAATTCCTTGAAAGCTCAGAGTCTCAGGGAGTAAAGTAAGCATGTACTTACGACCAGAGAGAGTTCCTTCCTTGTGTGATGACTCCAGTGAATTTTGTTAGCCTTCGAGCATCTACTTCAATCCACTGATATGGGTCATTTCTTCCTGCACACCAAGCACCATCATAAAAATCATTTTCGTTAACACCTGCCTGAAAAGAAGGTAAAATTGTCTTCATAAATCAGAACCAAGAAACTGAAAGTCTTTCATGGGAAAGAGGAAAGAAAGCATGAAGGCATTATTCATCCCATTTATTCTTTTAGCTCTGTTTTTAAGACCCCTGAGACTGTTATTCTCAACAGCTATATAGAGTGACCAAAATATTTTCTTACTCAAAGCAGAGAGGGAAATTCAGCAAAATTCCCTTAAAACCCAAGAACCATTACATATAAATTTAAGTTATAGTTAGAAAGCATAAATAGAACTTCATTTCAGTCCACCTCTCTGTGCCTGTGTCCTGACAGAGCCTTTATCCAAAACAAATTACCTACCTGGTTTTCAGATTCATGGCAGTTCTAAAATGCCATGTCCAATCCATTAAAAAATGGTCAGTGCTGGATCAATCTCCTTTCCTCTGGAAGCAGCAGAGAGTGTAGGGCATATGGAAACACTGGTACCATTTCCCATGAATTTTCAGTCTCAGAATTATTAATTTTCATCACTAGGGTATCAGAGGTATAAGAACTCAGGTTTTTGCCCAAAGGTACTCCAACTTCTGTACCAATCTATATCCCCATTTTTGCTGGCAAAACCACTACAAGCATCCTTTTCACCATTTTCAAAGCAAGGTATTTTGAATAAGCTGTACTCAAAATACATCTGAAATAGCATTTAAAGAAATACAGCATCTGAGGTCTTTAGATATTTATCTTCTTACTAAAGCCCAGGAAATGGCCAACCACGTTGGCTACTGTCATAGAGAGCACAGAAGCTTTTCCATATGGTTTTCTGAGGCTGTATGTATTTTTATGATAATTCATCTGTGGTTAATGTGGATTTATCATTGCCATGCAAGCAATTCCAAGAATGAAGATCCTTAAATATTTCCTAAATACAAAAGAAATCATATAAATAAATATGTATAAATATAAATGAGTCATAGACACAGATTCAATTCCTAAACCCTCATTTTCTCAGGTATTCAAATCTCAGATAGGGCAGCTTAAAAATTACTTGTTTCCCTGCACCTACCAAAATTACCTGAACCACCTACTTCTATGTATTAACTGATATTTTAAAGTGGAGTTTGTGTAAAAGTTGAAGCACAAGACACAGAGAAAAACTATTAATAATGGAGGATAAATTCTTCAAGGAGAACTGAAGAACAGGAAAACATGAGAACATAAATATGATCACTGACCTGAGTTATAACCTTCTTCAAGAAAAAGTTTCAATGCATTTTAAAATAAGATGGGAGCTGAAGCAGCCTTAGGGTTTAAAACCCATGCTTGCCAGGAAGTGTTAAAATCTGCAGAGCACCCTGAATCAACGTCGTGCTAATCCCTTTTACACCTATGAAACCCCAGTTTCTGCAGACTAAGTACCCATATCTCTCACTGCTTCAGCTGGGATCCTTGGTCCTCATTCAGTTTGAGGCTATTTCCCACTGGTGTGATGCTCACCAGGGTGTAAAACTCTCCTCCTCATTACAAGGAGAGGGAAGAAAAGAGAAAAAAGAGCTTATTTGAAAAAACAAAACACCTCCAAACCTGATTACATACTCAAGTCTCCATGGTTTCCACTGGATTTAAATAAAACTAAACATTTGTTTAAGTTGTATATCAAACAGCTGGGATCCTTGGTCCTCATTCAGTTTGAGGCTATTTCCCACTGGTGTGATGCTCACCAGGGTGTAAAACTCTCCTCCTCATTACAAGGAGAGGGAAGAAAAGAGAAAAAAGAGCTTATTTGAAAAAAAAACAAAACAGAAAACCACCACCAAACCTGATTACATACTCAAGTCTCCATGGTTTCCACTGGGTTTAAATAAAACTAAACATTTAAGTTGTATATCAAATATGGGGAGTCTAAAGGACATGCTTATAGTTATGCACAGCTTAAAATACTATGGTCTTAATTAAAGATAAAGAGAGCATAAGAAAGAGAAAGAAACCATGCTCTTACTTTTTCCTGCTCTATTATTTCCCAACATCAGCTTCTCTGAAGCTAAAGAGAAAGAATCTCAATAAATTTATGTTAAAACTATTTTTTTTCAAGCTTCAAATCTGTATTTTTTTTTAAGATTGACGTTTTGAATTTGCCCTGTGGCCACTTTAAAATATTGTTTCTATAAGAAACAACCTCATAAACTCAACGTTTTGAATTTGCCCTGTGGCCACTTTATTGTTTCTATAAGAAAACAACCTCATAAACTCAAATCAAATATTTAGTGGTTAAAACTGCTATTCAAGTTCTTTGGAAAAAATCTTCATTCCTGAAAGACGAGAATAATTATAATCTAACATTCAATTTAAAAAATACAGAACAAGATAACTTTTCTCAGCAAAATATTTGAATGTAAAGGTTATATATATATTTGTCAGGTAGGAGCTCTGGAGGAAAGATGCACACTCCAAGGGGTCAGCAGACAAATCCATTTATTGCAAAGTTTTACAGCCTTTTATAGCAGACAAGAGAGAGCCCCCAAACCCCACAGGTGAACGAGCCTCTTCACATGCCTAAGCTGAGCTACAGATTGGATAATAACCACTGTCCATGCTCTGTCCATGTGCCCTGTCAGCCTTCACAACTGTTGTCCTCAGCTCTGCCCGTGTTTACATTCTTCTCCTCCTTGTTTGGCTAATTCAAGGTTGTTTCACAGACTTTCTCAGGCCTAGGAGAATCTCACTGTCTGCAGATTGTCCATGCTCAGCAAAACATGTTATCCTGCTCTGCAAGTGTGTCTCCACATATATTGACTTAACAAATACAATAGATTTGAGTTACAACATGCATAACTAAGCTATACATTTAAAGATCTTACATTATTTTCCTAAGAGACTGAGAGAGCTAATGAAAACTTTAAGTAAGGAAAGTCTTAAGCAGACCTTTCTTTCCTTCACTAAATTTCCACGTATAACCCAAAGCATAACCCAGCTTATATTTTACTTCCAGCCAAAAGCAAAAACATTTCTCAATTTGCAATGCCTTACAAAAAAAAAATACATCTTCAGTCTAGGAAACTGGACTTTTTTCTGTCACTCCAGAACTATTTATCTATAAATGTGAATGTTGAGAACAGTAATTCAAATAAAACAAACTCCTTATGTACCCAAAAACTAAGATGAAGCAAAATCAAAAGTTTACAACTCCTTTACAGATTTTATGACTTCTGATTTTAATTCAATCTTCTCTCACAAGCCAGCTATAGGAGCAGGAAAAATATACCTAATATCAAACTATTTCTGCCTAAATTCTCAGTTCCCAGCAGTGTGATCACAAACATTTTACCATAGGAAGTTTGGGAGGGGGGTGAAAAAAAGCATTACTCATCACGAGTATTTATAGCAACCACTGCCAGTAGAAGAGAAGAATTAAAGCACACAGGCTGAAAGTAGAACTTCAATAATTTTGCTGTTTGCTTTTGTTTTGATAAGGGAGCTTTTCAAAAAGAACTAGAACTGAAAAGACAAAAAGCAACACCTCCTGCTTATTTGCACACACACGACTGCATGATTTGGTTAATCTTCAGTGTTGTTTGGATTGCTCCGACCAGGAAAATGAGGAAGGGGAAGAAACATCATTTGACTAATTATTTCACATTTTAACCACTGCTAATTATTGTACGAGTGACACAAACTAACGACTTTTACCCCTGAAGGCAGAGATCCTCAATGAGTGTTATTTTAGGCTATGATTCTTCCCAATGATGTTAAATTACTACTGGTTGTGCTAAATTACTACTGGTTGTGTCACTACTGCAGTTACAGGTTCAATCTCCAATATGAAGGGCTCTAGAACTGTTGCTCCTCAAGAGGTCCTAGCTTCATCACCACCTTCATACAGGACTGGGAGCAAAATCAGCTCACCCACAGTGCAAGGTTACATGAGAAGCACATCTTAGAAGGTCTTATCCAGTCCTACTAAGCCTGTCCTTCAGAATAAAGCGCGTACCACCTGATTTATTTCATACGCTTCAAATAATCTAAACAGAAAAAAAAACACCAAAAACCCTCACACCACCTCAGAGGGAAGTCTTTGAAAGACTTCATTATTCTGCAAATTCCCTGTGAATCGAGGTAGTGCCGATTACCTGGGGTGAGCCCTAAGCTTCTCAGCTGACTTTGCATCAGATGAGCTTCAGCAGAGAGTGAATTTTGTCTTATTTCGGGGAAGAACACGAGTCACATGAATATTGTGATGGCACTGTGGTGATATCCAGACCACAGCACAAGGGCAGCAACCCATAAAATTGCTCATCACCGTGTATTTAGCATAGAGCTCTGATGAAACTTCAGGAGCATGTTGACCTCAAGGAGTCTGACTTCAGCCAAGTGTTTTTCTTCGTATGAAATACTGAACAGCATGAAAACACAGCTGCTTAAATCCCAGTGCCTTTTGCCTTTCCCCAGCACACCACAACCTGCCCTTAGAGCAGCAAAGAGAAATCACCAGGGACCTCATTACCCCTCTGACCTGTTAGTCCCCTGCAGTACCTACTCTTGGTGATAAGCATATATCTTTTCAATACCACTAAAATCCACACAAAGTAAAATCAGGCACCAAACCTCAAGCGACAGGGAAGAGAGCTGCACATTTTAAGCATCTTTGAAAAAATTTAAGCTAATTCCAAAGGAAACTACCCAAAGTAAAATAAATGCAAGCCCATACTTTTAACACTGCCAAACATAGTGGTAACTCTAAGTTGTCAAAGAGTTTAGGGACCTACTGTATCTGTAGTATACACACAAACTTTCAGTAGGGGTAAAAGCTTTTCACTTGAGGATTACTAGAAATTTTAGAGGGAAAGATTTAGCAGAGAAAAAGGGCTATATTTGAACAAGAAAAGGAAGCAAGCCAGAAGTCACTTGGATGTAAGCTAAATGTTGCTGGGGTATCCGTGCTTGAGCCTCCCACAGTCCTGAGATCAGGGAATTCCCTAGACCAGAAATGAGTAAAAGCAGTTTTGGGACAATAAGAAGAATCAACCCATGCAGAATTCAGACAGCTCAG